GCTTTGACAAATGTTTGTTTATCACCTCAATCCGTATATTTACCACTAGATGAGATAGCAAAGTGCCCCTGAAAATGTATCACACTCTAGGACTGGGAACTAGGCCTGCTAGTATTGAGATGGGATTTGTGGATCCTGACTTCCTATGTGTGTCGAATGCAGATCTAGATTTAAAACAGAACGAATGACTGGTTGCTCATTTGCACATTATTTGTCCAATGTTAAAAGCTGGTCTGTGCTTGTGTCCATGAAGAAATGAAGTGGAAGTTACTGAGTATGTGCTAAGTGTAGGGGTTCAGTGATGACGCATAGCTCTGTGCTGAATTTAATTTGGGGAGTGACAGGGCCAGGGCTGGTTTATTAATTTTTCCAGAGATCACTATGTAAGCAAAGATCTCCAACCATCCGTAGGGTGCCAGGCATAGGCTTGGTTCATTCTTTCACTTTAGAGTACTGGATGGTCTTCGAAGGCAAAGAAATCAGTAACTGCTTTTAGAGTTTAAACATTTTGTAGGATCAGTTGCTCCTTCATCCCGTCTTGTTGTAAGAAAGGTGAGGGCGGAGAACAGAGATCTGGGCCTTTGCTTACCTGTACCCCAACTCTACATTTTCCACAGGCTTTGTGATCCCTAGTAATAATGGGATGAGGTCGGATTTGGTTTATGAACAGCGAACCTTCATCCCGAAGACCCTCAGAACACAGAAGGGAGTGTATTAAGATCTGCTCCAACAGATCACTATGGATGACAGATTAACTGGGCAAGTTTTAGAAATCTAAGAATTGGTGAACTTTGGGGAGAATGAAAAAAATATATAAGAAAGGAAAAAGAGGAGAAAAAATAAAAGATGCATAGACACTGTAGATAGAGAATAAAATGGTAACAGGCCTTGTCAAGTTTGGCACACATAGAAATAAGGGGGGTGGTCTAAGTGCTAAGATTTTGGTCAATCTCTAGGACAGAGTACAGGACTGACTGACATGACTTGCCTGTGTTTGGCTATCTACCTGTTAGGATATGAGTGAGTGAAGGACTTATTGAATGCTGAAGACCTGCTTTCTGAGCAGAGACTGAGCAGGTCTGGACTAAGTTGCATCCGGGAAGGAACAGGGAGCAGCTGCCGCAGACATACCTTCTGTCATGTTCTATATACAGACAACCTGTCTCCTTACAGCTGACTCTCCTGTCTAATTAAACAAGGCAATGCAATCTGCACATCGCTTCATCCATTATCCAGCTCCCCCCATACACGCCACACAAATAAATAAATAATAAACAACTGTCTTAGCAAGTACCACCCTGCCTCCCACTGGAGCTACATGTAATGTATCTGTGCTCCCTGCTGCAAAGCCTGGACAAAAATCATACAAAACTCATCGCATCCCATCGCATTTTCACTGTTTGTTTTTTTTCCTGTTACCTTTTCTACTTTATTCTGGTTTTATTTGTATTAATTTTAGGGAGGGTTATCTGATCACATTTTCCCTGGCTTACTCACCGAGTGCTAAGATAGTGATACATTTATTTTGAGAAGTGGAAAAAGCTGACAATTGTTATTTTATATATATATTTTTTTTATTTTTTTTTTAACCACTAAAAGCAGAAAATATCACTTCCCAATTACCAGCAAGTTCACCAATATTTAGGGAGTTCCTCTATACCTCATCAGACCTTCCATTATCTCAGAATCCCTCTTTCTTAACAATTATTTCACCATATTTAAAAAATAAAAATTAGAAGGTAGAGGTTTTTTTTGCACGGTAGGCCACAACATCCTCTTTTGCTTGTTCAGACTCAAGTCCATTGCCCTCCCTGATAAACCTTTATCCAGTTTAACTTGTCATATCATTAATATGAATATGCAAATGTGTATTTACAAATGTGTATTTCCAGTGTCATCACAGAATGCCAGGATTCTCCCACAATGAAAGAGTTAATATGTATCTAGCTTTGTGTATATTTTACCTCTTACCTTTTAAACTGTGGCATTGCCCACAACTGTCTAGAGGTGGTAGCAGATGTGATAAAAAAAAGATTTAAAAAAAATTCTTAATACAAGACTTGGTAAGATGCTCAGGATTTCAACTCCCATCACACTCAGCCATGCTATTTCTGTTTAACTGTGATGGAAGCTACAGCTCTCAAAGATTGATGATGACTTAGCTGAAGATGCATAACTTGAATATACCTAGTTTAATGTGCACACCAGGAGATGCTGGGGAGTGGGGATAATGAGTTCTAAAGGACATATATACAAACATTAGTTTAACTAGAGGGGGGAATAACCAGGGGGATCAGGAAACCTTGTTCTGCAGATCTAAGTTATGCTGGAGCAATCATGTGTTTCATATTAACCCCTGCATTAAAGGGTTAACATGTGCCCTTAACAGACAGACACAGATCATCATATACATGTGTTCTAAGGTGTGCATTGGTTCAGTCTCAAATGATTGTCAAAGTATTGCACAAAATTAATCATCAGAAATTAAAGAGAGGACTGGGCATACGCCTCTGATAAAGGTTTATTTTTCAGTGTTTTTAGCTGTAATGTGTAGAATTCATTTGTAAGTTTGAATTCCCAACAGAGAGGCTTAATGGTATAATTCTCTGTATACCCTAGAGACTCCCAGTAGTTCTCACCAATAAATACAATCCAGATGCAGATACACCTATTGAGGGAATTAGTAATGGGATTATTTTACCTTCAACTTTGACTGTGACAGACAATTTGCATACCTGAAAGTGAGATTATTGTTTGATATTAATTGCAATTAATCATATCTGCTGTGAGTTTGAGTCTGAATGGCAATCTATATGTGGGGTTTTGTGGAGCTTATTAATAAACTGTATAATGTGTACACAGCATTTCTTAAATTGTTCCTGCAGAGACTTCACAAAAACACCCATCAGCAATGATAAAAAGGAACAAGAATTAACAAAATGCTGGAGATAAATAAGACTGCTGCTCTTTCCTCTGTTTCCTCATTTTTAGTTATTAGGTTAAAATAAAAATCACCTCTGTGGACATCTCATGTGCACTGGAATATGAAAAGCTCCATTGAACGCAGATTTCTTACAGGGAATGCTGAATAAGTACCTAAAGACTAAATAAATACATCATTTGATTGAGTGACATGAGTCCCTAAACCTTAAACAGCACTAGATCTCTCACACATTACCTTGACACGTTGGTACATTAGAGGATAAAAGATTGATGTATTGGGAGATTGCAAAGGGTCAACCTATTTTATTTATGATGTCTAAACGCTTGAATTATGTTCTTTGTAATTGCAAGAGATTCGCATTTTATTTCGAATACAGTTTTACATATTTACTTTATCAGCTACAAAACTGCAAACAAGTGTGAAAGAATGTTTCAGTGTGTCATACGTGTGTTTTTACATTCTTTTATAATTATTCTCGTCAAATGTTGCTTTCAACTATTATAGAATATAACTAGATAGATAGATAGATAGAGTGATAGATAGATAGATAGACAGACAGACAGACAGACAGATAGAGTGATAGATAGATAGATAGATAGATAGATAGATAGATAGATAGATGGATAGATGGATAGATGGATAGATGGATAGATGGATAGATGGATAGATGGATAGATGGATAGATGGATAGATGGATAGATGGATAGATAGATAGATGGATAGATAGGTAGATAGACAGACAGACAGACAGATAGACAGACAGACAGACCTGTGTGTGCTTGTGTGAGAAAGTGGTTTTATAGTATGTATTTTTTAGATGTAAGTGTGTATTTGTATGTATGTACATGTGTGTATATTTCTCAAATGTTTTGCTTTAAGTTTCTAATGTTTTTTTTCCATATAAAAAAAAACACATAGCAAGAAATTGCACTATGCCCAAAATATATGCTTAGATTGCAAATGTTGCTTACATTAACAAGTGCATATTTAGAGTTAACGAAGAAAAATAAGCAAAATAAAGTATAAATTGAATTTCCTCGCATTTTTTTATTTATTTTTTTAAAGCAAATGATGTCTTCTAACCGTGCATTGACACAATAGAAATTACTGTTTGAAAGATCAGTGAGCCATGTAAATGTATACCTAAGGAAACGAGAGTTTGGGCTAAAACACTTAGGCTCGATTCTCTCCCAGGGGACACAGGCTTGAATTGGTTAATAATGCACAGTCTCTTACTAAATTGCTAAATTCCAGATGTTGAGGATCTGTCTTCTTAAAGGACCTACATAACCTGATTGGATTAGGAGAGAAACGTCACACTAGCTGATTTTGAATAATGATTTAATTAACCATACAGTAAAAAAAAATTAAAAAAAAAAAAAAAATTCCCCCACAAAACCCATCACAGATCTGCATGTATAATCTCTTAATTATAAAAACACAGTTGCATTCTGACATACGTTTTCTGTAGACATTAAAGCAATATTATAAACTTACTGTCACCCAATATAAACAGTACAGTATCAATAAACCCATAATAAAATATACATATAATATAAAACCTCTTGCACATAGCCTTGTATAGCAAAATAAGCATGCACAATGTATCAATAAATAAAATGTGTTTTCTAGAGAGGGGAAAAGCATGCAACATGTACAAATAAATAAAATATTATTTACAAAAGTTATATTAATACCTTTCTGTGGTGTATAAAAATTCAATTGAATAAAATGCTGTATTTGCCCTAATTAAATAACATGCATCACCTATTAGAAATATTTTTTCCCCTAAAAATAAAATATATAAGTATATAGAAAAAAAATAAAAAATAATAACAAAAACACACACACAAAACGCAAACACAAACAAAAGAAAATAACAAACAGGGATCCACATGGTGATATTAATCCCAATGTAGCAGTGGAGTTAAATCAGTTCAGGCAGCTGTAGAAAGATTGGTGAGCTCTTGATTGTAGACTTGGGATCTTGCAGGACTCTCTCAGTAAGTTTAAGTTCATTTGGGTTATAAGATGTGTGATTGGTGTAAAAAAAAATTTCTCCTTGTATCCAGTAGGATTTTGTGACGAAGATAATGATGCCAAAGACATAATGCCTTGGGTAATGGGAAGGATGGGGTGGGGAGGGATGCAGGGAGGGGGATGTGATGGGTGGGGGGAGTGAAAAAAAAAAGAGGAGTGAAAGAAGAGAGAGAGGAGAAGAGAAAAGAAGGGGGGGGAGAGAAAGGGAGGTGGAATTTAATTTCTTCCACTAAGCATTTACTGAGACTTCAAGGTATAATCTATCCCAGATCTTTTTCCCTGAGAAAAAACTTAGTGATCACGTTTGTACATGATGCTCACGTTTTGTGCTTTCAGATTATCCCTCCCCATAAAGATAGGTGGCGTGTGTCTTAGGGTCTATATTCCATGCAACACAGAGAAGCAACAGAAAAAAATGTCATGAGTTACAACGTAACACGTCAGTGCCTCCCCAGGTCTGTGTTTCCTGGAGTGGCAGTGTGAGATCAGTTCTAACCTGCTCAGCAGGAATAACGGTCCTTTCCTCAACTACTCCCAGGGCTTATAATATCTGCAAGACCTCACCTATTTTATTAGCATTTCTGGCTCTTCATGCATCATCTCCTCCTGGTCCCTCACACAAACTACCATCAGGACTTTTGAAGGTATGTTTCAATTACTTTTATTTATATAAAGTATTTCCAGGTATCTGTGCACTAAGCAAGAGGCAGGCTGCATGCAATGCTACACAGAACACACAGCTATCAGCAACACTTTGTTTGTTCATTTATTTATTGGACTGTTTATATTTATTATAAACTCAACCTTTTCTTTTTTTGTTTTTACCTGGCTGGAACAGGTAAATAAAAAAAAAAGGTTCTTCAGTGAGATTTAGATTCTATTAATTATATTTCCCAATTAAATAATTGCAAAAAGACTTGCATTTCTTAAAAATTTAGGGACCTGGATTTTTTACAGTTTTTAATTTGTAGACTATACACTTATATACTCTACTTACTACATGGAGTATAATGAAGTTTGCCTCTACCTGAGAATTATTAATTTTTTTTTAAATAGAACATATTTGCATACATTCTGTTTTTAGTTCATCTTGTGACTTTTGCAGTTGTAGATATATTTAAAAAAAATAAGAGGCTTCGCTAGCCCAGCCCAATTTTCTGTTTATTAAGCAAGTTTCATTTCTTTAATTTTTTTTTAAAAATTTGTTACTTGACACCTCAGTAAAATAAGACAGAATAAAAGAAGTGAAAGTATTGTTGCATTTTTAGAATGAATTCGTCTGCAGAATTCTAACTTGGAATTTTTTTTTTTAATACATTTACACATAAATATTCATTTACACCATTTTACAGCATGGCAATTTAAGATAATGAGGGAACACTGTATACAATATAACATTAAAGAGTCTCATATCTTTTAGAATGAGTGAATCTTAAACACTGTTAATGGGGTGAGAGAGAGAATGGATGTTTTATTTAACCCTTTCATGCTCCAGTGAGTAATTTGCAGTGTAAACAAACAGACCAATAAGTAAAAGTTTAAAAACAAATCTATTACACAAACTCGTGTGGTTAAACAATTTGGACAAAATTAATTCCATTATGGGATGGCTGTATCTGATTGTGTATATGTAAATAGATTTGCTTGTTTATTTAAAAAACATGTACAAGTAGTAACCGTGTACATGTTTGTGTGTGTCTGTGTGTGCATCTGCTTGTAATTGTGTCTATGTACAGCCTTTTGAAATCTGCATTTGCAAACCTCTAGTTGACACTTTCAAATTGTTTGTCCTAGCAGGGAAGAGATTGAAAAATGTGTCTAGGTGTTATAAATGAAGTCTAACCTCAAATCCTTCTAGGGTTATACCACACGCATGTACTAAAGGTTTCCACTTGCATTTTAGGGGTTAATTGCCTGTGTTCCATCTTCTAAAGCCCCTGGCTAAACTAAGCCCTTTAAAGATACATTATTGTGTTTTAAAAAAATATGAACTTAATTTCTAAACTATACTATCAGACTCCCCAACCCTCCCCCACGCCACAAACCCCCCCCCCCCTTTTAGTTCCCACATTTTTGACAGAGACTGTCTAAAATGTAACTTTTTTTTTTACAATCCAAAACAAAGTTTACTCCCTTAAACAAGACCCTCTGCTTCCATAAGGAAGAGGAAAAACACCCCTATCCCATCCTGTATCTTTTGGATAGTCAGACCTGAGATCTAGGAGAGTTTATGTTTGTATGTACTTACATCTGTCTATTATCAACGCAGAGGACAGATCAACATATTGAAAGTGCCAGTTGTCTGTCTCCTGTTTAAGATCAGATCTTCACATAAAGGCATAATTACATTCAATATTCTTCTTTTATTTTCCCACGGATCTTCATACTCCTATATGTAACACAAACTTGTGGAGAGGGTTCTGATCCCACAGGGGCTGGGTACCATAACACACTGTGCAATCCATATTAAGAGCCAGCCTTGGGGGGATCATTTTGCAAGATGCAGTTCTATTGTTATACAGTTTCTCTCTGTTGCTAACATGTAACAATACCACCTTAAGACAAGCCCAGGAGCCAGGAATAAGAGAGATCAGGCTGTGTCTGTGTGTGTGTGTGTCTGTGTGTGTCTGTGTGTGTGTGTGTGCGCTATTTGGGGATTATTTGGCGCCCTGCATTTAAATGGCACCCACCAATACCCACATTGTCCTGTGTTTGCTTGTCAGAGTCTGCGTGCTGCTGATACAGGGAGTCCATGCAAACTGCAATCTGATCCACAGTTATCAATGAGGCAAGAGATCATGGCGGATGGCCCCAGGTGTAAGAGGAGGAAACAAGCCAATCCAAGAAGGAAAAACGGTAAGAAACCTCTTGAAACCCCCCAATTCTTGCACCCATTGCCCGCTTCACAGCCCAGGCAGCTCAGGCAGGGGGCTTTGTGCTTTTAGTGCCTGTTGTGTTTGTTCTGGAGGCTGCAGAGTTGAAGGATCCCATGCAAAGTGAGGGGAGAGCTCTCTCTCCTTGTCAGCCCCTCACTGAAGTGTGAGTGATGACTCCAGCTGGGAAGTGAGTGAGCAGAGAGGGGGAGCAGGGTCCCAGGACCCCCCGGCCAGGGCTGGATGATGCATTGTGCAGGGCAGAGGCTGCTGTTTTTCTGCTGAAAGTTTCTCTATCCTGAGATTAGGAAAAGTCCTCTCACATAACGGTTCTCAAAGCAGGAATGACACAGACCCTGAGATCTTTTACCCTTTCTGTCTTTTCTCCCTTTTTTTCCATTCTCCCTGCTACTCCCAGTTGTTCAGGGGCTATCAGACTACATCCCTCCCCAATGCCTCTGAGTCCTGGAGGGCTAGCAAGCTTTGTCATTATGTAGCCTGTTTCTTGTTTGTCACAATCACTCAAAGCCTTCATCGTACTGGGAGAAGGAGGGGGGGAGAGAGATTGCAGCTTTAAAAAAAAAGGGTTCTGCCTCATAGATCAGTAAAAGTAATATGGGTATCCCCCAAAATGAAGCAGCCATAGAATCACACACAGTACGGATCCCCACCAGCACCCAAACATCCACTTTATTGATTAAAGGAACCTTACACATAGATCAGTCCCTTCCATTGAGATACTTGAGAGATTGCTGGAGATGGGCTGGGTGTGTGTTCCCATTACACACACTGATATGATTCCCTTATGGGATTTAATGGTCGGGGGGCTAACTGCAGACCACTTCTCAGCCAATTCCTAGATCAGAACCTGACAGGGTACTTTAAACAATTCTCCTCCCCACTTCAAGCAACTTTCAGACCCCAAGGCTGCCATGAATGCTTGGTGTGAGCCTTAACTCGTCTCATTTGTTTGCAACCTTATTATTATTTTTTTTTATTGTACATGACACATTTAACCCTTTCCCTGCACTGCCAGCTTGATGGGGGGATGAGTTAAAAAAAAGGCTTTATTGGTAAAACTGTCAAACATGTACATTTACTTACAAAAACAAACACACACACACACACATTTTAGATATTTTAGTATGTGTTTTATTTCAGTTTCAGTTTGTGTCTCTCATTTTTTATTTTTGTCTGTGCAGATTGTTGTAGAGGTGTTAAGTAACGTGGAGAAGTGGTGTAATTTCTCTCATTTTATTTATTTTTTTTTTGAGGGGAGAAACTCTTGTTTTCTGTTATTCCTTTATAGTCCCCTTTGATCTCTTTTGCTTATCTTAGTAATTAAAATAATACAGTCTGAGAAAGTGTACACACTGGTCAGCTTTAGACCAGCCTCTTGCATTATCACACAGAGTTTAGAATTATTTTTTTTACCCTCCTTGTCCAACGCTTAACCCTTTAGGTGCCAGGCTGGTGAGCAGGGCATCCCAAAAAAGCTCTCTTCCCCTTTTGCACCGAAGAGGTTAAGGTGGTCCCTTTAAAGACCGCACCTCCTTATCCAACTCAAACTAATTTAGTCGAGGCTACAATTACATACAATGTTTCCCTTCGCTCCCTTGTGTTCCCCTCTTCCTTTTTATTAAATGTTGGTTATTGATTTTCCTTTTTCCCAATCAATGTCTATGTGGGGTGTTTCTCCTCTTACCAAATGCATAAAGCATTTAGCTGATAACTGAGAACCAGAGACATTGTGACAAGTCTTTTCCATATTCCCCAGTAGTGTTTGTTTTCATTTGTGAAGGGTACCTTTTTTGTGTGTTTGTTGTTTATTTGGAATTGTAGTATGGGTTAGAAGTGAGGAGTGTACATATAGCTAATAAAAATATATAAATTTAGCTTATGAAAAAGTTTATCTTACTTTGGATAATATATATATAATAAATATATTATAACTTTGGATATATATATTATTACTTTGGATATATATATTATTACTTTGGATATATATATAATCACAGGTGAATTAGTTGTCACCTGTGTTTAAATAATGCTAATTCTTGGTATGCCTCTAGTTGCTGGGCTCCCCTGTAATATTTTAAATACATATTTTGATATAGGTGATGTGACTTTGTATTTTATATTTAAAAGTAAATACATACTTAATACTCAAAAACAGACAAACATGCATCATTTCCCATATAGATAATATTTTGTTTTTCCATTTAAGGCCAT